CCCTTTCTCCCCTAAACTTCCCCAGTGCCTAAGCTTCACCGAATCTGTTCTCTTCACTATGCTTCTGTACCTTAACACTTGCTGCTCCTTTTGCCTGGAACAAATTTTGCTGCATCTTATTTACTTTTCAAGATCGAGCACTCCTTTCGTGCCTTCTGTGAATCCTATTGCCAGTGGTCTCAGGCAGGGAAGTTCGTGCTTAGTTCACGGCTTCTCTCTCTCGCTAGATTCTCCCTGTGTGCGGGGAGCTCTTGAGGCCAGGACTTTAGTTCGTCTTCTTATTCCCCTTTGTGTTCAGCACATGGCTTAAATGCCTTGCGTAGCTATTTGCTGAGCTGAAAATAACTAAGGTTTTTTAAAGCTCAGGTAACCAAATAGATGGTTAACAAACTGAAACACTGGAACAGATCTATATTTTGACCATGCTGAACTTGAGATATTTATGTTACATTTAGGAAATGTTCAAGAGCTATCTCAACATAGGAGAAGCAGGAAAAACAGATCTGAGTGTCACTGTTAGTGGTATAGAGGTGATACTGCAAATGGTGGAAATTACTGTGAGCACATGCAGACTGAGAAAAGATATTTAAGAGGACAGTTGCCTGAGTGGCTGCTGGGCAGGGAACAGGAAGAGAAATGGGAACTCAGAGCAGTTAACTTTCTTCCTCTTTAGTAGGGTGTAATAGTCTGGAAAAAAAAAAAAAATCAGATTTTTTTTTTTTAAAGGATCATTTGTGTGTGAATTTCTCTCAAAAATAGGATGAATATATATATTTTTAAGAATGAACAACTATTACTATATTTTCATATATTATTGATTCTTGGCCTTTACCATCCTAAATGGTTTCTATTATTTGTGTAATTGAAAATTTTTAATGTGAAACTGGTTGCAGTATCAAATTATTGCAGTTTACATCTGTTGAGATCAAACAACTCATTATTTCTTCCAAGGACAAGAACATGATATGTTTTTGCCTCTGGGGAGGGGGGATGATCATTTTCACAAGAGAAGGAAGCGTTCAGTGCTTGCTTTGCCTGTGGGTCTCCTCTTGTTCACTTTTGATCTAGATATTGGTGGTTATGTTCCAGTCCTCCTGCATATGCCCAAGAGGATTGGGAGTGGAGTGAACACCAGCAGAAGCACCATTTTTTCCTGTAGAGATTAGAGACCAGGAGCTTATTGCCCTGCTTGTCGAGGCTCAGGACAGAGAGGAAGAAACCAGTATAAAGGTTTTGGCTTTGGAAAGAAGTTGGAATCTCCTGACCCTGGGACCTTAAGATCCACAAAATTGCTGAAAGAAAAAGTACTACCTTATTGAAAGGTAAGATATTAACACTGTTTTAAGGTTTAAGCTCTCATAGCCACATTGGCATATCTTCATAAGCTATGAAATCAAGCAGTCATTTCTTGCCAAGCCCAGGTTTTTGTGATAACCCATCCCACCTTCATGGTGAGGTGGAGACCTGGGTGGCTGGGGAGATGTCTGCAGTGAGGGAGAGCCTTTACAAAATTTCATTCAGTTTTGAAATGATATTTATTGAATGCCAGGCACTGTGCTAGGCCTTGGATATACAGAGATTAATGGATCACCCTACCTGCCTTCTACAAGTTCTCGTTCAAGGCAAAGAAAAAAACCCTGATGATTACAATGTGATAAGTGCTATAATAAATAGGTAATAAGTGTAGTAAGAGTGGCCTGAATCTGTCTACTATTGTTTATGTCCTAAGGGTTAATAGAAGCTCATGAGGTTGGATAAAAGGAAAGAGCATTTGAGTTAAAGTGAATTATCTGTTCAGACATAGATATAAAAGAGCATGCTATACTTAAGAACACACCAAATTCCAGAAGTTGCTATCTGAATGTTTGCTGTGGGCAAAAGAAGAGGGAGTGATGAGATGTTGCTAAGGAGGTAAACTTAGGCCAGTTTTGGAGGCCTTGTTGCACGCCAGGGAAAATTGAACTTAACTTACTAGCCACTGGGAAGCACTGGAGATAACAAACAAATAAACTGTGAGGCTACTTAGGTCCCAAGATGGGTAGGAGAAAAGATAGATATATAATATTAAAATAAGAATGTACGTGAAACTCTTTAATTGGGTCCCAGTCTGTCTTTTCTTTTTTCCTAATATTCCTGGTGTCCTGTGTTCTTATTAGGTTGACTCTAAACTTAGTAGGTTACTGGAGAGTAGGACTTTGACTTAGATTGTTGAGGCTCCCTAACTCTTCAATTTGTGCCAACCTTGAAACGACATTGTAAAGTGTATTATGCATGGATCAGCTTAAAATCCATTTTCTTCATTCTGGAGAGAAAGCTATAAGCCCAGTAAAGAAAGAAGATTGTGGCTGAATAAATGCTATAACAAGGGGAACGCAGGCCTTCTTGTCTCTAATCATGACCAAAACAGGGTCCTGAAATTATGGGCCCCAAGGAAAAGAAAACCATTCTAAGAGAAGTCAGGCTTGACCCTGAAACCATTTACAGGGATGAGGTAGTTTGAGGACTCATTATAGAGGGACCTGAATAGACCCCACAGGCTCTGGTGACAGTAGAGAGGCCAGACATAGGTATAAATTGTGAAATTGCTGGTGCTCGAGCATTAGCTGACCATCTTGTTAATGAAGCTCTGGGCTTGATGAAGTCACACACCTAGGGACCAGTGAGAAGATGGTGACTCGGGGGTAAGACACGGGTGAAATGCTTGAAGAAGGATATCTGCATTCTATGGATTATGACCTTCACTAAGATAAGAGAACAAAGAAGAGAGCATAGCCCCCAGGCGTATACGCATGGTATTCACAGAGCGCATTTCAGAGACGCTCAGATCTCTGTATACTGCAGCCAGGAGGAGTGCAGACAGTCAGGCCTGGCTGAGGGCTCTGCAGAGATGATGACGCCAGAGGGCTGTAGGAATCTCACCTAGGGGGCAGTTAGCTTCTAAACTACTTGTCATCTAGTTGGAGCAAGGAGAAGAATCGTGTTTGAAGAAATACATTTCAAAAAGCGTCTGCCAAGACTGGGAGGCTGAGTTTGAAAGGCAATAATTTCAGGCCAGACACAGAGCGTATCTATAAAGTTAGTCCAAAAAGCAAAAAAATGGAGGGAGGATGGAAAAATTCTCCAAAGATGTCTTGAAGTACTCAAAATGAGGTACATCAGATAGGCTTTCGTCTTCAGAGCTCTCTGTATGACCTGTAATGTTTTACCCTCTTTAGGTTAGAAGCTCTAGAATATGATGACGGCTTATAGAAGGAATAATGCACTGACAGTTGAGGCGTGTGGCTTGCAGGGTCTCAGTTCCCCGACAAGGGATTGAACCTGGGTGGTCACAGTGAAAGCCTGGAATAGGATCACTAGGCCACCAGGGAACTCCTGAGAAAATCTTTTCTGATGAAAGAGGATGTACAAGAAGTGAATTTGAAAATAGCAGCCTGAGCTCAGCTTTCCTTGAATATCGGCTCAGCTTTCCTCTCATACCGGCTCTCCATATGGTGCCATGGAATAGACTTTAAATATATTTACATCTAATTATACTAGATGCTACTTCATCTAGCTTCAAATTCTAGTCAGAAGTAAAAAATATTTTGAATGTAATGAATGTAAGAACTCTTACAGAGAATGTGCTCAAATTCAGAATTCTTTTTTTTTTTCCAAATTCAGAATTCTTCATAGGAAATATATAATAATTTTAATGGGTACAGGAAAGATTTTGTCATTAGCAAACTTTTTATTTTAAATCTAAGAAACTGCATATTGGAGGACTCAGGAGGAGGCCCTGAACAGATCCAAGTGCCTCTATGGTTACAAAGCACTAAATGTAGATTTTGAAATGGTTTTGCTAATAATCTGCAGCTTTATGAATGTTGAATAATTAATTTATCATAGAAAGAAATCCTCTAGGTTTAAAAAAGATGTTTGTTTTCATAATGATTTCTGTTGTACTCACTTATAGATAAAAGAATTTGCTGTGGTTTTGGTACTTAACATTTTTTCTGGAAACAAGACAAGCTGAAAAACAGGTTTTTGTGGGATTTAAAAAAAAGCAAATCATAATTTAATAGCTTTTTAACCTATGTAACTCAGTAAAGGGTTGGCATTTTTACCCGTTACAAACTGACTCAAATTACAGAAGGTTTTAAAAAATGTTTTATTTGTAAACATTTGAGCAGCATTTCAGAAGGCTATAATTTTTTCAACATGTTTACATGATTAAGAAAGAGCTGTATATTAACCTTATCTATAAACTGGGCTGTGAAAACGTGTTATAATAGTAAAGAAGAACACATTTTTAACATGTTTTTATATGATATACGTCATTTGATATTCAAAACAGCCCTGTAAAATTAGTAGGGCAGCTATTAATATCTCTGTTTTACAAGTGGAGAAGAGTGAGGCTCAGAGAGGCTAAAAGTTTTGCCTAAAGTCACAGAGGTAGATTTTGACCGTTCTACTCCATCAGTGTTTCAGTGTTTCCTTGAGATGAACATAATTCAGTTTTGAGGGCGTAGACTGGTTTTGTCTATTTTTTTGTTATCTTAATCTTTGCTTCCAGAAGAAAACGTACTATACAAGGCTGGGAAATGATTGTGAATATATACAACAGAAATAAACATTCTTTTTTTCTGTCAACAGTTACTGAGAGTAGGTGTCAACATGCTCTCAAAGTATAAGAACAAATCTATATCCTTATTAGCACCGCAGCACTGGCTAAGTAAGCATAGTTCTTTGCTATTGAAGTGTTTTTATGTTTTCCAGGAGGCCTAATAGTTCTCAAGAGTTTGAGGAAAAAATTTAAATTCTGCTCTATACCTAATATTCAAGTTCTGGAAACACATTTGTGTGTGCCTTAGGAATTACGGGAATTTCTTTTGACAATCTGCTCTTTTACTCAGGTTGACTACATAGTTATAAAATTCTCGGTCTGACTCGAGCAGGTTACTAACTAGGCCCTTCTGTGAGCTGCCGCATGAAACTGGGCGCCCTGCTCTTTTGCTTGACAGGATGAAGAGGCTCGGAGGGATTACGACTACATGCTGGAACACCCGGAGGAGTACTACAGCCACTACTACCACTACTACAGCAGGCGCCTGGCCCCCAAGGTGGACGTGCGCGCCGTGATCCTCGTCAGCGTGTGCGCCGTCTCAGCCTTTCAGGTGTGTGCTGACGCGCCTGTGAGTCTGTGTGTGAAGGCGTGCACGTCGCCGGGGACATATATGTCTATGTGTGTGTGAAGGCGTGCACGTCGCCTGGGACATATATGTCTGTGTGTGTGTGAAGGCGTGCACGTCGCCTAGGGCTCGTCATTAAAACCGAACTACAAGTATGCTTTTGTGCAGTTTTACTTCCAGTTCAGATTAACTTTTTATGTTAGAAAAATATTTAGTCAGTTAATAGTAGTGGAATCTTTGATGGCAGGAAGTCTTAAGAAATTGTGCATGTCATTACATAACTACTAAAACTAATTACCAAACAGAAAACCCAGATCTCTTCCTCATTGCCTGCTCTGTATTTTCCATGTAACAGCCAGAGTGACTGTCAACTAGATCCATCTGATTTACTGGTGACCCTTGAACAGCGTGGGTTTGAATTGCCCGGGTCCACTTAGACTCGGGATTCTTTTCACTAAATGCGGCCCTGCACCACAGTACCACACAGTTGAGGCTGGTTGAGTTGGAGGATAGGGAGGGACTGTGTATATGCACAGTTGGCACCTACGGAGGGCCAACTATGAGTTACACTCAGATTTTGCAGAGAGTGGGGCCCCCTCGTGTGTTGAAGGACCAAACTGTACTTTCATAGGACTTTTCAATGATTTCCCATTAAACTTGGGGAAAAATCCAAATTCCTTAATATGGCGCAACAAGTCCTGGCATCTGCCTACTGAATGCCAGGAGTATAGTGCTTGCCAGCATTTAATAAACAGAAATCTCACCCATCTCCACGTGACAGCTAAGGGCACTCCTGCCCCAGTTTAAAAACCACTGAAATAGAGTAAAAGTGCTACAGTAACTTCAAAATATATCACAGAAATATAAGTTTAGGCTGAAATGAGCTTTCCCTACTATTAATTCCTAAACTAACCATACCTATCATATCCTCCTCCTCTAGAGGCAAAAAAAAAAAAAAAGACTAGAATGAAGCAACTTGCTAGTTTCAAAATTACTTCTCCAGTTTAATTCCCAGAAATGAAATTCAATTTATATGACAAAAGAATTCCTATTGAAAACTAAAATTGTGTATTTTAAATGTTTCAGCTTTTGTAGTATTGCCTTTTCAACAGGGAGAGGAAGGGCAATTTTACTTTTCTGTTTTAGATAACATAATACTCTAGTCACTTTTTTGTTGTTGTTGCTATTAATAGATTGCTTCTATGATATTTTAGGATACTGGTATAATTGCTGTTTTATTCAGTAAAATAGCTGAAATGTGTGGAGGTACTATATGAGGAGTAGTACTTTTTCTGATAATAAAACCCTTTGTGGTTGAATATATTTAAGAAATAATTTAATGTTTTCTTGCCCAAATAAGTAAAGATTCAAACATACTTGAATCTTTCAGTTCATAGTATGATGAACATTACAGTGGTATGTGCAGATGGTTTAGGAAACAGATAAATATCGTTGCCTGAGTCTACCCTGTGATTGTTTGGAAGAAACTCCTTATGACCTAGTTTTGCCATTTGACGACTCCTCCAGTAAGTAGATGGCAACCTTAAAGAAAGAAGAGGGATTTCTTAATTGCGATCTAAGGAGGAGTCAGATGGTAAAGATGTGGGATCAACAGGTACGGTGTGATTCCCCTGAGCCATCCTCTGATCCTGGGTGTCTCCTATGGAGAATCAGTGACTTTTTGGCTCAGCTGACATCTGACTTATCAGTCCTGAAGATTCCCATGTCCACACAGCTATTATTGAACTGTATCTTAACCTACAAAGTAAGATTTTTGAGGTCCCCTGTTTTTAATCAGAATGGGTTTTTTGTGAGCGGGATTGTGTTCACCAAGATGAATTTTGGTAATAAAAGTGATCCGTTTTTCTTTGTTAAATATTCTAGTTTTTCAGCTGGTGGAATAGTTATGACAAGACGATCAGCTACCTGGCCACGGTGCCCAAGTACCGTATCCAAGCCATGGAGATTGCCAAGCAGCAGGGATTGCTGAGAAAAGCCAGAGAGAAGGGCAGAAACAGAAAGTCCAAAGAGGAGGTTCGTGATGAGGAGGAGAACATCATAAAGAACATTATAAAAAGTAAAATAGACATAAAGGGGGGCTATCAGAAGCCCCAGATACGTGACCTTCTCCTGTTTCAGATTCTCTTAGCTCCTTTTCACTTGTGCTCGTATATAGTGTGGTATTGCCGATGGATCTATAATTTTAACATCAAAGGCAAAGAATACGGGGAAGAAGAAAGACTATATATCATACGTAAATCTATGAAGATGTCAAAGTCTCAGTTTGATAGCCTAGAAGATCATCAGAAAGAAACTTTTCTTAAACGGGAGCTTTGGATAAAGGAGAATTATGAGGTGAGTAATGACTCCGCTGTGATTTTTACTGTTTCTCTTCCTTACCAACTTAAAACTAAAGGATCACAGAAGTGTGCTCTAATTTCTGAAATCGAATAGTTCAGTATGGATAAAGATCTTCTGTTGACAATACAACTAGTAGTTGAACAGTGAGTTTTTAACCTGTAATTTGTCCTTTTAAAAGATGAAATTCAAATACTTTAATTTACTAATGCTAAAAATTTAAAAGAATGGTCTAATTTGTTATGTTAAATTGCACTGGGATAGAATGTATATTTGCAAGGATGTCACCATTTTCTGTTAATTGCACCAACTAAACTTTGATCGTAACATCGTATGACCTGAACTAATTTTATGGCTGACCCAATATATGAAAAGCTTTCACTTTTAAGTAGTTTAAGCAGCCCACTATACAATGAACTGTCTGTCATGGAGTGCTATCCTGGGCTAAATTATGATATTATGTGAAATTATCTTAGTCATTACTTCCTGAAATTTGGAAGTAACGTAATTTCCTTCTAAAATTTGATATGGCTGTGAAATTGGTTATGAAAACTTGTCCATTTAACTTTAACTGACATCCACTAAAGATTATAGAAATGAAAGCTGTTCTTTGTTTTTAACCTCTGTGGTTTATTTAACCTTCTTTGGGAACTTTAAAAATATTTTGAAAAACCAATAATTATCTTTGAAGATAAAAGAAGTTGTAAGTTCAGTTTGGAGACCGAAGTATTTATAAGGTCACTTTGTTCCTTGGCTAGAATCAACATATACTTAAAGTCATCTATTAAATTTACTGAGTACCATGTTAAGAAAATTCATGTTGATTCTTCAATATTGGATGTTAGTTGTAGAGAGGAAATGTTTAAACCCTTTAAACTCACCTTACATATAATTTCAAGGAAGAAAAGAATGTATTTCCAGGTTATAGAAATCAGTGGGGAAAAAACACTAGTTCTTGCATGAGTTGTTCTTTTTTATTTTTTGATTTAACACTGAATGTTAAACTGCTTAATTGCTTAGTATTTTTTGGTGCATGGTTTTCAGAAGACAAACCAATACATTCATTGGGAACTTTTACCTAAAATTATATTTGAATAATATAAACATGCTATTGTGGTTCAGTTGTTGTGTCCAACTCTTTGCGAGCCCATGGACTGCTGCGCACACCAGGCCTCCCTGTCCCTCACTATCTCCTGGAGTTTGCCCAAGTTCATGTCCATTGAGTCGGTGATGCTGTCCAGCCTTCTCATCCCCTGCCGCCCTCTTTTCCTTTTGCCCTCAATCGTTATCAGCATCAGGGAAACATGTCATAAAGCTAATGAAAATGTTTCTCTTTGGATTGTCAAGTCAGTTCGTGTTATTTATACTTATAGGTCTACAAACAAGAGCAAGAAGAGGAACTAAAGAAAAGACTGGCAAATGACCCTAGATGGAAAAGATATAGGAGATGGATGAAGAATGAAGGGCCTGGACGGTTGACGTTTGTGGATGACTGAAGACCGCTGGAATGCTGCTATGCCAAACCTTAACTGTGATACTATTTTCATAACTGAATTATTTTAGCAATGTATCGACTGCACCTCAGCAGTAACTAAAATTCCTCAAGAATTAAACAGAATAATGTAGACATTTAAACTTTCCCTTCAAACTTTATACATAAGACATTTATGATTGTTCAATTTTTATAATCGATTTGTGGATTTTGTTAAAAGACTTGACAGGAAGATTTATTAGTTGCCATTTAAAAGTTTTATATCTTTAGTTAAAAATTTGACATGAAAATTTATTAGATACCATTTAAAAATATTACGTGTTAAGTGTTTATTCTTCAAAAGTGTTTCCTTATTCTTTGTTAAGTGCTACATTTTTCTGCTTTTGTGACCTCTGATAGTTTCACAGAATGTAATTATAACACCATTTAATTACATGATTCAGTGTGTCTTTCTAGACACAAACTTCTTCAGCAAAACGAATTCAACTATCATGTCATCTTCATGACAGTCATTATAGGATTGAAATAAGTTCAAAATATCTCTCTGGGAGAGTCTTCTGCTGGGCTGTCTTTATACTATCTCCCCCCAGTCATAATATTGTTAATAAGATCAGAAACTCTCCAGGAGAGTGAATGTACCTTCCTGTCCTTGTGGGATGGTCTTGATTACAGTCATTATAAGACTATAACTGTGCTCGCAAACATTTCTCCAGAAGAGGACCTCATAAGAAGGTCTTTTTGTAACACAGCATTGCTTTCTTAATCTTCCCTTCAATTAAAAAAAAAAAAAACACAAAAATGGACAGAGCGAAAGTAGTGTAATGAAAAGTTCATATATTATGAAGTCCTTGATTAGTGAAAAATCTATTTTATGTGAGCATCTTTACATGCATTTAAACCAGAAAGAAGAAGTGCATGGGTGTGTGCTGTTCTGTCAGACAATGAAATGTAAATGTTTTATGCGTGTGGAAGTGAAAGTAATTCACACGTAATTTGACTGAATTGAGTATCATACTGCAACAGAGTACCGAAACACATTCGTGGTAGCTGGTCAGTGCTCCTGTTAAAAGATATATCCCAGCCCATCATTTTAATAAAATGGTTGCAATATATCCCAAGTTTGTTGGTATGCCATTTTAAGTCAAAGATTAACATATTGCTTCTGTATTATTTTAAAAGATGGAGCATAAAAGTATAGTATAGTAGATAGGCAGCATCAGTTTCTCCTCCAAGGAAACTCGGCCTTTCAAGAGCTCAGCCCAAACATCTGACACATACAGAGATGGAGGAGGGAAGAGTTCACCAAACTTGTTAATATAGCGAAAGACCTGAGGTGGATTATATATTTCTGTGAGTGAGGGCCTCAGTTACCTCATTAGAAAATCAGGGGAGCAGTCTGGCTAGATTATCACTAAGGTCCTTTTGCAGCTCTAAAATTATATAATATTTATATTTTTGTAGACTTCAGATGAAAGTGTTTCATGCATCCATTCTTTTTTGGGAGGGTGTAGAAGTCACAACCCTAAATTATAGGAAGCTGTGTTTCAAACCCCAAATACCCAACTCTTAACCATAGATAAATGCCTTTTAAAGGTGCTGCAGTTGTCTATAGAGTCAGTAATCCCTATCTCAGTGAATGTGTTATCATACATTTGACACACAACAGTATTATCTAAGAATGAAAGTGTGTACCATATGTTACAAAGACCAGAAAGAAATGTAGGTACTTGCCCTTCTGTTAAAATTTCAAATACGTTAATGATTAACTGTATTTTTTTTTAAAACCTGGTGATAAGGAAAAATAAAAGGACTGAATGTGTTAGCATTCATAAAGTTTGACTGTTGAAAACAGTGTATCTTTGGATATTATTTTGCATATATGCTAGATTGCTGTATTTCTGTTGGTCTTTATATAGGACTCTCATTTCTGTTCCTGGCAACCTGCTTACTTGGTAAAAGTTTGGTCTGTCTTTTGGAATCATGGCCATTGAATGGGTAAGATGAATGAACTTTCCTTAACAGTGATTCTTCTCTCCCCTTTCCTTAGCAAAATGGCTTTATGCTTCAAAATCCTGGAGGAAAGGAAGGGCAACTAGTTGTATCACAAGTGTCATTCAAGTATCCTGGGTTTCTTTACTAGTAGTCACCTTACTCTGCCCATCCCCACCAAAAACCCAACAGCTTCTCCATTTTAGAAACATCTGGAGAAGAATCTTGAGTAGGGGATCCCAGAACCCCACTATAGTTAGAAAACCTTTCTTGAGCTTCATTTTAGAGCTATCACCATTTCGTTTTTACTTGAAATTTAGGAGTTTACAAAGCATAGTTGCTTATTGGTTTCTGTTTATTATGACTTCATGTAATTGAGGTCTGTGCTAAAACTACCCTTAGAGCTACATTCACATCAAATATCCTCATAGCAGATTTCAAAACTGATCCTTCCTTCATTGGTCTTATTTCTTTATGAATTCTCCAAGTTCTACAGATTGTAGGTTGCAGTTTCATAACACATCTATCAAGTAGGGACCATGACTAGAATTTTAAACACTACAGTGGTATGTAGAAATTTAAAATACAAGTGGTATACAGAAATTTAAAATATTACATGCAAAAATAGTTCAGTTTACAGAATTAACAACTATTTTAGTACTATTGAATGTATGTTTAGAAAATTAGTTTATTTCCTTTAAGATTCTTTATTTTTTGGACAGAAAGGGCAGTAAACTTTTAACACCCATGCCTTGGAAATATTTTCCCTGAGTGGAAGCCAACTGGTAAGCTTACATTCTGCTAATGATATAAACCAGTGTGTTAGCCCCAAACTGAAAGTTCTGTGGAAATTAAAGAGAAATGGCTTTTATTAGACATTAGTATGACTAGGTCTAGCTACTTAAAGACTTTATATTGGACATGGTCTCTGGAGTTATAATTGTGCCCTTGAGGCAGATAAATGTTGATACCGATACAAAATAGTTGTGTATGGATGAATTACAATTTTATTTACAAAATGCAATACTCTTCACATTTAAATATGTCCTAAGGCCAAATCTGAACCCTAACAACTAAATAAAATTTGCTAAAGAAATTAACCTTTCTGGTTTCCTCATCTGTGAAATGAGGGGATCTTTTTAGAGAATCAGGACTTAATCTATAAGCCTGAAAACTTACATAGGTTTAGGGTCTTAAGTACATTAGATGGCTTGCAGTTGAGAAATGTTACACATCATTTAAGTAAAAAACCTACATAATTTGTCATAAACTTAATCAGCTTCTTATCCTTGACAGTTGTGTATATAATGGGTCACATGACCTTAGGTCAGAGACATATGGGATTCCTTACAGACTCCTCCCCAACTTCATTAGGGATGAAGAAACTTCCTCCCATTTCACTGTGTCTTCTTTTGTGACCTCAAGACGAGTGAACAGAATGCAGTCGCATGGTTCAGGCTTTGCAGCCAGATCAAAGTTGAGCTTCTTGGCCATTTGGCTAAGATCAAGTTTAGGATGGGGACTTCCTAGATGGCACAGTGGTGAAGAGTCCACCTGCCAATGCAGGGGCCACAAGAGATGCAGGTTCGATCCCTGGGTCAGGAAGATCCCCTGAAATAGGAAGTGGCAGCCTGCTCCCGTATTCTTGCCTGGAAAATTCCACTGATGGAGGATCCTGGTGGGCTACAGTCCATGGAGTTGCAAAGAGTTGGGAGGGACCGAGCACAGACCAAAGTTTAGCTCCTGGCTCTACAAATGATTAACAGCTTGACTTTGGACAGGTTAACCTCTGAACCCCATTTTTTTCATCTCTGATAGTGATACTAACTTCATAGGATGCTTATGAGAATTAAACAAGATGGGGAAAAATGCCTGACCTATATTAAATGTTCAATAAATGAGTTCCTCTGCCTTTCAGAGAGAACAAGACAGTCTTTTTTGTTAAAAATCCATGGTAATACTGTTGAGTGATTACAAAACTGTTGTTTCTTTACTATTTTAATAGGTATTTGAATTCCTTACTTTGTGCAGAGTACTGTGCTAGAGTGAAAAAGTGACACTCCTTAGGGTTGGGATTTGTGTCTTAAAATCAGCTGCCTGCCCCTTGTTGCCCCTGGGGCACAAGGTGAAACAGCTGAGATGACAGCTCAGAAAAGAAGGAACTTTCAGAGCAAACAATCTGCTCACTAGTTCAAGGCCTACATTTATGGAAGGGATACTTCCAGCAAAATACAGAGGCATGCCTGGAATGGTTGCTCAAAAGGACATCAAGTAGCCCTAAGTTACACTGCCTCCCAAAGTCTTAAGCAGCCTGTAAAAATCTCTCCAGAGAAGCTGAATCTATAAACCTGTTGGTGAATCGTTCACTCCTGATTCATTATTCTAAGGTCTAAAAATAATGCAGTAGGTATAAGGAAGTGATACGGATTTTTATGGTACATTATATTGTGTCACATTAAATATAGTTGTTAATGTTTTCCTGTTGCTTTCTAGAAAACTGAAGGTACCAGAAAACACCTCATTTTATCATTTATTGGAGAAGAGTGATTTAAAGCCTCTTTTCTGGAAAAAATAACCCACTGTTAAAAGGTGACAAAATACATATTAGGAGTGAGGAATTATAGATCCGAACAGGAAAACAAATGAAATATTTGTCTTTAGAAGGACACTGACATTTCTAAAAGTACTGAGGTTCTTAGAAACTGGAAATTTTTATCTTAACCAAGGGGGAAAAAATGTGTAACAGTCTCTAACATACTGGTGACCTTTTACTGAAGTCTTGTCTCCCCACTTCAGTTCGTTTTGTGTCTTCATCCCAGATTAATATTCCTAAAATATCTTACCATGTGGCTACCCCACTGCCACAGAATTCTGTTTCTTTTGAGGTCTCCTGTGACTTGTAGTCTTAACAGCTTTGTATCCTGTATTACTCACTAGAGCCTTCTTCATTCATTAACTGATTCATTCCATGGCCTCCCGTTCTCCATATTGGAATGCTTTCCCCGTTTTGCTTTCCATCTGTCACACACGTATCCAAAGTCTAGGTCTCACCATCTAAGATGAGCTTTTCCTAGTCCTTCCAGTCTGTATCTTTGAATTCTTTGCCACATCTTTTTTAAACACAACTTTTCTGTCAACAATTTAGTCATGTTTCCAACATGTACTTTCATTTTTTGACTAGAGTATGTTAGGTTCCTTGTGGTGAGAGAACTTGCCACTAGAGGGCTTTAAAATTTGTCAGGAGAGGAGAGAAATTCTTCTTAACACCCCAGAGACTGAGCACATAGCTCACAAGATAAACAGAAAAAAATGTTCAACCGCAACAGTTAAGACATCTAAAAGACTTAAGGCGTCATTTTCCATCTGTTAGGTCAGTAGAAATAAAGAACCACAATATAGATTTGTGGGTACAAAGAAATAGCCTTCTGGTGGGAATAACAATTGCTATCACCTTCTGGATGATAGATAAAGTGGCAAAAAGTTTTAAAAACTTATATATTCTTTGATCCACTAATTCCACTTTTAGGAATGCATCCTGAGGAAATAAAAGACATGCAAAAAGCTGTTTGTTTAAGGTGGCCACCACAGTGTTAAAGAATAGGGCAGTACATTACACGCCAGTCAAGATGGCTGCTATCCAAAAGTCTACAAGCAATAAATGCTGGAGAGGGTGAGGAGAAAAGGGAACCCTCTTACACTGTTGGTGGGAATGCAAACTAGTACAGCCGCTATGGAGAACAGTGTGGAGATTTCTTAAAAAACTGGAAATAGAACTGCCATATGACACAGCAATCCCACTTCTGGGCATACACACCGAGGAAACCAGATCTGAAAGAGACACGTGCACCCCAATGTTCATCGCAGCACTGTTTATCATAGCCAGGACATGGAAGCAACCTAGATGCCCATCAGCAGACGAATGGATAAGGAAGCTGTGGTACATATACACCATGGAATATTACTCAGCCATTAAAAAGAATCCATTTGAATCAGTTCTAATGAGATGAATGAAACTGGAGCCTATTATACAGAGTGAAGTAAGCCAGAAAGATAAAGACCAACACAGTATACTAACGCATGTATATGGAATTTAAAAAGATGGTAACGATAACCCTATATGCAAAACATAAAAAGAGACACAGATGTACAGAACAGACTTTGGGACTCTGTGGGAGAAGGTGAGGGTGGGATGTTTCAAGAGAACAGCATCGAAACATGTATATTATCTAGGGTGAAACAGATCACCGGCCCAGGTTGGATGCATGAGACAAGTGTTCAGGGCTGGTGCACTGAGAAGACTCAGAAAGATGGGATGGAGAGGGAGGCGGGGAGAGGGGATCGGGATGGGGAACACATGTAAATCCATGGCTGATTCATATCAGTGTATGGCAAATACCACTACAATACTGTAAAGTTTTTAGCCTCCAACTAATAAAAATAGATGAAAAAAAAAAAAGAATAGGGCACTAGCTGAATAAATTCGGATCCAGTTGCATAATGGAATACCACACAGTCATTAAAAATAATAAATGAAGAGCATATCTTTTTTGACTGCCCCTGGATCGCTTCTAGTATCAGCATCCTGGTTTTCCTTTGGGAAACGGATCTTCCTCTTTCAGTCTATATAGTTTGAATGGACTGAGAAACCGTCAGTTTGGGTTCCCCAGAGAAACAGACTCAGATGGAGATTTTCATGCAGAAAGTTTGTTGTTTAGTCGCTAAGTCGTGTCTGACTCTTGCAACCCCATAGACTGTAGCCTGCCAGGCTCCTCTGTCCATGAGATTTTCCCCACAAGAATATAGGAGTGCACTGCCATTTCCTTCTCCAGGGGATCTTCCCGACCCAGGGATCAAACCTGCATCTCCTACATTGGCAGACAGATTCTTCACCACTGAGCCACCTGGGCAACTTTGTTGGGGAGTGTCAAAATCAACAGCTAGGTGGCAGGGTGGGTTGGTCCAGGGACTGGAAATGAAGCAGAGAGAAGAGCTGAACTGTGAAGCAACTGTCATTAAGGCCTCAGATGACCCCAGCCAGGAGCCTGGACTCGTCCTTCAAGTGAAAGAAAGTGAAAGTGTCAGCTGCTCAGTCTTGTCCAATTCTCTGGGATCCCATGACTGTAGCTGGCCAGGATCCTCTGTTCATGGAATTCCCCAGGCAAGAATACTGGAGGGGGTTGCCATTTCCTTCTCCACGGTATCTTACCGACCCAGGGATCGAACCTGGGTTTCCCACATTGCAGGCAGACTCTTTACCATCTGAGCCACCAGGGAAGCTGCAGCCGCCACTGCTAACTCCAGCTGAGGGGGCTGGAGTTCAGATCTCTTACATCCCACATCAGTCATTGGATGAGAGCTGACAAGGGGAGCGGTGGCTCTGGTTCAGGGCAGTTTCCAGAGTGACTCAGCTGAGAGGCATCAGCTGCTACTTCTCCCAGCAGATGAGGGAACCAGTGCCTTTGTCCTAAATGGGAAGTTGGGTGGTACCCCACAGCACCCACTAGAGGTGGGGCTGACCCCACCCCACATCCTGCTCTTGGCCAGGTGCAGCTAATCTGAGCATTCCAATACCACACAACCCTTGCCTTCAAATAGTGACTGGTTCAGGAGTGGACCCATGACTCAATAAGGTCAGTGAGATCCATTATGGGGATTTTTGCTGGAGCGATTAGAAAAGATGCTTTATTGCCCTTGGGTTTCCTAGGCTGGGACAATGGAAGCATGGAACTTTCTTCACAGCACTACAGGGAGTCTATTTACCATTGAAGAAAACAAGGCCAACACTCAGAAAAAGCAGAGTGAAAAGATGGGAGAATGAGAGCCTTACAGCTATTATTTGGGCAATTAAACCCATTAAAGTCCCTGAGCTTTTCAGTTACTCAAACTAGCATACTACCTTTTTGGATTACTCAGTTTAAGTGGGTTCTGACAAATCCAATGGCACACAAGAATAATAAAGAAACATTCATAATACATTAAGTGAAAAAAATCAACAAAACATTTTACATAGAAGTAATGATGCCGGTTTTGTAAAACTAATTACTGTAAAGAAAGAAAACGCAGCACAACAGAAACAATAGTTACAGTTAAACGACGAGATGGGAATGAGGCGAGCTGAACTGAATTTTTTTCTGTGTGTTCGGCGAAGAAGTCAGGGTCTTGGATTTTATGCTACTTACCCTACTGACCCTACCAAGTCAACTGGTTGGATTTCGGTCAAAAACAGCTACAGAGTATTGTAGAAACCTGTTTTGAGGACTTCCCTGGGGATCCAGGGGAGAAGGAAATGGCAACCCACCAGGCAATCCAGTCTTTTTGCCTGGAGAATCCCAGGGACAGAGGAGCCTGGTGGGCTTCCGTCTACGGGGTCGCACAGAGCCGGACACGACTGACGCGATTTAGCAGCAGCAGCAGCAGCTGGGGATCCAGTGAGTAAGACTCCGCGCTTCCACTGCAGGGGGTGCAGGTTCAATTCCTGGTGAGGAGACTAGGATCCCCAAAATAAAAATGGAATCTTGTTTCCGTTCCATCGAACCCCACCCACCGTCCCACACCTCCGGAGGACGACACCTTCTGACGCTTAGAAACCTTCACACCGGGTCCCTAGTTTCTCCCACTCACTGCACACCTCGCTCCAGCCACACACAGTCCCAGCTCCGATTTTCCGGGAAGGCGTCCTCGCCTTCTTCATCCCCCACGCCCCACACCCACTCCTGCTCCTCCTAGAAGGAAGCCCTAGACGTCGAGGTGGAAGGGGGCGCCCCTGTGTGGGCCCCGCGGCGCGGCTTGGGGGACCGGTGGGGACGCAGGTACCCTCTCTGCTTAGAAGTCAGAGTTGGCGTCCGTCAACTCGGGACCCCGAGGTGTCGCGTACCCGTGGTTCTGTCATCTCGGAGAGCGGCCGCGTGGCGAGGCCGGGCGCGGGGGGCGGGCGGCAGGGCGGGCACAGCGGCTTCCCCGCCTCGGGGCGGTGCCGCGCCTCCCGGCCGCGCGTCTCCCAGCCGGCCGCCCGCCCTCTCGGAGCCCAGGCCGCCGCCATGTCTTCCGGGGCCAGCGTGAGCGCCTTGCAGCGCCTGGTGGAGCAGCTCAAGCTGGAGGCCGGCGTGGAGAGGATCAAGGTGAGGCCGGCGCCTGGCCTCGGGCGCGGGGGCCTCCCGCTCCCGCCCCGCCCCGCCATCCGCGGGCGGGAGAGGAGCAGGCCGCTCCTGGGCGGAGGGCTGCGGAGCCGACCCCCGCGCTAGCGGGGGAGCCTGCCGCGGTGGGCGGCCCCGAGGACGGCGCCCGGCCTGGCTCGCGCGGCCCGGCCTCTGTGGGTGGGAGTCTGCGCAGGGCCGGGCCCGGACCCCAGCGCCCGGGAGAGGCGGCGGCGCGGGGACCCGAGAGGGAGGCCGGGTCTGGGGGCGCCGAGGAGAAGCTCCTGTCTCCGCGAGAGACCCCGGGGCGGTCAAGTTTTCAGTGATGCGGACAATGACTCGGGGTGCGGGACAGACGCCAGGACACCAGGAATGGGGGCGACTGGCCGGTGGCCTCCCCTCCCCGAACTCGGCTGATGCGGGAGGATGGGGTCTAGAACTGCGGAGGCGACTGAATGGACGGGCCTCGGTGATGGGTTGATAGGATGCGAGGGAGGAGGGCGCTGCTCGGGCTCCTGGCCTGGTAACGGGATGGATGGCGTGGCCATTTGCCACGGTAGCGGGGAGAGATGGTGCGTTCAGTTTCGGATACGTGGACCTTGCAGGGATGCCCGGGAGGTGTTTGACTGCCTTGGCCGAAGCTCAGAGAACAAAGCTGAAAGACCGTAGGGGGGTGGAAACTGAAGTTACACGAGCGTGGAGCTCAGGGACCGGCTGAAGGAGATGGCTGTGAGAAGAGAAGCGAGGGAAGGCCAGGGTACTGGAGCGAGGAAGGGAGGTTATCAAAAACTGGCGCCTTAGTCCAACGTGTCCAGTGTTTAGTCACTTGATAAAAAGCCTCTGGTGTGTAATTGTGTTTAGCAACTAGTATATAGCATTATTTGTAGAATGTGTGTGTGAATGAATGAACACTACTGTGGCACTCGGTGGACCTGATCGAGCCTTTACTCTGGACCACGCCCTGTTTTGTGTGCTGAGAATATGGTGATTCCCTGGGGGAAGGTAAATAATAAACATATTAACCAGTTAATTAAAAAAACTTCAGAAAGTGATGTGAAGATTATATACAAGATAAAGAGGCAGTTGTGGAATACAAAGGAGGCTTCAGTGACATACAGTTTTAGAAGCCAAATCTAAATTATAATAGGATAGGCAGACACTTTTGACACTTTTTGGGAATAAAAAAATCTGGTTTTAAAGAGGAAACTTTTTTTTTAATTTAGGAAATGAAAAGCTGTATTTTGAGGTTGAGAGGAAGGAACACACTGTATTTTTAGGTCAGGGGAAGAAACAAATGGAGGAGAGCTGGAGGTAGAGACAAGGAGTCTAAGGGTGCCTGGGATTGGAGGGACACCTTCTGAGATAAGAAAGGAGGAAGGATATGTGTAAACATATGTATTTCCAGATAGAGGCCTAAGAAACTTGTATGATGACAAATGTCTTTGTGGAATAGGAGGCCGAGTTTTCTTCTGGGGCAGAAAAAAGGGGAACTAATGGAGTCACAAGAGCTGAGGATGGGGGAGAGAGCACTATAGGGAATGCCAGAGGACCCCCAGCAGACACATTCGGAGATTCCGAAGACCTAGCTGCTGTGAGATTGATTGTCTTATTTTCCTTCTTCTTTTTCTTCTTTTGTCTCCAGCAGCATTTTGGCCACCCAGGCATCTGTGGTGAATGGTGGTTGATCCAAGTAGTGAGTTAGCAAGGGAGTTTTGCCAGAAAGATAGAAATGGGAGTGGAGAGCAAGGAGTCCAAGGGTTTGGCTAGAAGAAGGCTGACCCGAGAAGGAACAGAGCCAGCCTCCCTAAGATGGGCCAGATGAAAAAGGAAGAGATGTTCCCCTTGAGATCAAAGAGCAGGTATAGTGAGAAGGCAGGAAGCAGCGGGAGAGATTGTGATCAGAAGGTAGGATGTTGGAGTGTGAAATTTCAGATGTGGAGCAGTGTTGGCTGTAACTGTTGGTGTCTAGAAGGTTGTTTGAGGAGAGGAGCTCAGGAAACGGAAACTAGGATTGCTGGAAATGTTGAGGATGATGTTGGGGCCTGAGATGGAAAGAAAAACTGTGAGCCAGATGTCTGCCTATCCTGGGAAGTAGCTGGGGGAGGTATTCTTATCTACATTTTAAAAATAGTTACAGGTGATGAAACTAAGGCCTGGAGAAGTCAAATGAGTTGCTCAAAGTCATGCAGCTTCTTTGTGGGGTGTCCTCATGGGAGTATGGTTTAAGGTGCTTGGCAGCATTTTTCTCAGGCAGCACCTTAGGGAGTCACAACCATCCAGGGTCTCCGGTCTGCCTCATTTCAGGGCTCAGTGACGGATTTTCTCAGCACGTCCAGAGATGTCTCCTCTTTCGCAGACTTGCTAACTGGTAAATGAAGCAGAATACTAGTTTCGTAGCATTTGATGGAAGGTACCCCTTGCCATTGATTGGAATGCTCAGTATCCTTCCAAGGACCCTACTTGCCTTGGAGAAGTCTCTCAGAAGTTGATGGGTCGGCCTGGGCTCAGACCAAGGAAAGGGATATGATTTGAGTGGGGATTAGCCCACTTCAACTGAGAGGATACAACTTCTAAGGGTTGGGCTTACACTCTCCCAGGCCAGAATCTCTGCCCCTTGAAAGTGCAAGAGAAATACCACTTAATTCTTCTCTTATTTTCTTTGCATATCCTCCACCTTAACTTTTTGCCTATATTCTTTAGGCTAGCATCTAGTTAGTCCCACTTTTCTGGGGGTCGTAGGAGATTGTCTCTTTCCACCCATCATGTGTAGAGTTCCCCTGTTCCCTCTGAAGGAGACATAATTAGCATGAGCATAATTGGTTCCAGATTTCTTTTGAATTAACAACTTATGAGAGTTCCTTGGACAGCAGGGAAATCAAACCAGTCAGTCCTAAAGGAAATCTATCCTGAATATTCATTGGAAGGATTGATACTGAAATTCCATTATTTTGGCCACCTGATGCAAAGAGCTGACTCATTGGAAAAGTGCTTTATGTGCATTAACTCATTTAATTATTACATCAACTCACTGAGGTAGGCACTATTACAAATGCATTTCCCAGGTGAGAAGTAATGTGCCAGAGGCTGCACTCTTGACCAGTAAGCTATTCTGCTTCAAAAGCATGATGGAGGAACCTCATCACTTGCTTTGAGCAGACTGGATAAGGCTCCACCAAGCCTTGTAAATATTAAAACAGTCTGTTCACATGGCAAATCTGGATGTATCAATGTGTGGTTTATAAGTGAAAATTTGTAAAGGGCATATTAGGATAAGCTACTTTTTTATACTCTGTCTCAAAACCAGGATTCTATATGGGTGAAAAATATGTTTTATCTTTCCTTGGTTGAATAAGCCGCTGAAACAAAAAGGCCCTAAATCAAAGTTCACAGGAGTTGTAACTTTCCCTCTTTGGAGTTCAATTATTAGAACTTGCAGCAAAAAGACTCTTGGAGGTTGTGGAAAGTGTGACCTTTATCAGGTTGTACAGTCAGCTTTCAGAGTTTCACGTGGCTGCTGGATGGACCTGGCTGTGAGCAGCACGTCAGGAGCTCTTGTCCCTTTGTTCCAGGTCTCTCAGGCAGCTGCAGAGCTTCAGCAATACTGCATGCAGAATGCCTGCAAGGATGCCCTGCTGGTGGGTGTTCCAGCTGGAAGCAATCCCTTTCGGGAGCCCAGATCCTGTGCTTTACTCTGAAGAGTGGTGAGTAATGATACCCCAGGCCATCTTGGGGCCATGGGATTATCCTGGGGATTCCCAAAGGACTTGGGCACCTGAGTTTTACATTTTTGCTGTTCTTGAGGGAATTAAAAATAAATCCCAGCAAAATGCACAGCTTTACCTGAAGGGTGACTCTAATCTGCCTGCTTGTGGAATACATCTAATTAAGAGAGCCTCAATCCCCTTGTACGAACTCACCAGATGATAATATCCTTATGTACTTAAGCTTTTGAACTGACGTGGCCAACAGTAATTTCTTGTCCTTAACACCATCTCCCCTGTCCTTACACCATCCTGGACTTGTGATGTTGCTTGGTGCTGTCAACTGACTTGTTACTCTTGGGACTAAGGACTCTGCAGAGACTCATTCCTGCCACCAGCTGTGATTTCTTTCCTAGAGGCTTTCAGAATGTATTTCTGTGTATTAATGGAGGAACCAATGTAGTAACTGGGCCAAGTGTGAGTAGGGTTAAAAGAGCCTTAAAAATGTATTCTTGAAATGAAAACACCTCTTTAAAGGGTAGCCTACATTTCCTGGGTTCTAATGTGTTGTATGGGGTCTCAATTCATATTTTCATTTTTTTTTTTTTAAAGAGGTCAGGGCATAAATTATTAGTCTTTTGGGGCCAATATATTTCAAGTTACATATTCTCAGGAGTATTTATGGGTTCTCCAGGTGGCGCAGTGGTAAAGAATTCGTCTGCCAATGCAGGAGATGCAGTTTCGATCCCTGATCTGGGAAGACCCCCTGGAGTAGGAAATGGCAATCGCTCCAATGTTCTTGCCTGGAAAATTCCATGAACAGACAGAGGAGCCTGGCAGGCTACAGTCCATGGACTCGCAAAGAGTCAGACACAACTGAGTGACTGAGAGCACACACATACACAAGGGGTGTTTATACAGGAAGTAATCATCTTAGATCTTTTTTCATATACTTGAAAAGGAAATTATTCATGTTAACAAAAAGGAAGTAATAATACTATTAGGTGCTATTGTATCTTTTAATGGAAAATGTCTACATTTATGATATTAAAATAATAGTCTTATGTTGGCATAGCATTTGTCTTTTTACAAAGCACTTTCACGGGTGTTACTCATTCAATGGTGTGGTTTGGATTTTCTGATATTAACCTGTTACTTTCTACTTTGAGAACCCTAAAGTGACCTATGAAATAATGACTAGTTAATTTTATGTATAAATCTTACTAAGTGAAAACCTACCAAATTTTCTTTACAGTAGAGAAGAAGTTCGCTGAAGAATGCTTTCAAGCACAAACTGATGAATGACTGCCTCCAAATTTCAAGAAAATACTTCTCTAACCACATGACTTCTAGATATTTCACAGGACCTTTCCTGTGACCTGGTCTTTTAGCCAACATTCTACAGAAATTGATGTTTCTACTCAAATAAGGAAACTGGGTGAAGGTGTAGATTTTAAATAATAATGGCCTGATTCTTTGTTGAAGTGCTTTATACTTAAACAAAAACCTTACCACCAAATATACCAAAATACACTTCTTTCATTAAGTGAATTACTAGTGTTTCTATGCCTGGAATGTTATGTATGTTTTATTTACTAGATGTTTACATTTTGGGAAGGAAAACAGTATTCTTTGTTAAAAAAATTGAATATTTGTAATTTGCTGTTCCCAACTAAGATCTTTATACCATAACAAAATTTGTTCTTTTCTCATGAATTTATAATTTCTAAATGAAGACATGCAAGTGTAAATTGGGGGAAGAATGGGCTTTGTTAATCAAATGATGTCTTGATTTTTCTAAATGAGGAGATTGTTTTATTTTCAACACTAAGCATGGGATCTCTTTCTTAGCAACCTTGTTTGAAAAGATGAATGTTGTTTTCTGTATGAGACTGCCCCATCCTGTATATGAAGCAGATTTGATCTTTGTCTTTTTAAGTTCCTCTACTTTATAGGGGTGGTTTTACTTAAAAAAAAATACTAAATTATTTCATATTTAAATGTGATCTACAGAGCATTGCAAATGATTTTTAAAAAGTAATGTGAAAATATGACAACCTAAATGAATTTTTAATGTCACAGGTGTATTATTTTGATGATGTGTCTTTGATTTAATTTGGGACACTTAAAAGAATACTTTATTTGTGTTTGTTTTAATCTTGGAAGAACTTGGAAATAAAATTTCTGCTTAATTTCTACTAATGACAGCAATATTTTATGTCTGATTTTGTTTTAAGGCTTCATAGATTTTGTTTGCTTGGGCGATTGAGTGCTGAAAGTGGGAAGTGAAGTTTTTGTTTATAAGTCCTTGTAGAATTTTGTGAAAAATAGGTATAATATGCAGAAATATCTCAATTACTGGCAACATTTGCTCTTTGAGATAGCTATGTATTCTTGTTCACTCGCTAAGTCATGTCCAACTCTGGAACCCCATGGACTGCAGCATGGCCTGGCTTCCCTGTCCTTCACTATCTCTTAAGTTTGCTCAATGTCCATTGAGTCAGTGGAGCCATCCAACCATCTCATCCTCTTTGGTCCCCTTCTCCTCCTGCCTTCAATCTTTCCCAGCATCAGGGTCTTTTCCAATGAGTCGGCTCTTCAAATCAGGTGGCTAAAGTATTGGAGCTTCAGCTTCAGCATCAGTCCTTCCAGTGAATATTCAGCATTGATTTCCTTTAGGATTGAGTGGTTTAATCTCCTTGCTGTCCAAGGGACTCTCCAGCATCACAATTCAAAGGCATCAGTTTTTCAGTGCTCAGCCTTCTTTATGGTTCAGCTCTCACATCCATACTGGAAAAACCAAAGCTTTGACTATATGGACCTTTGTTGGCAAAGTGGTCTTTGCTTTTTAATACACTGTCTAGCTATGGATAAATCCATAGGTAAATGGGGATATCTTTGAACATAAGTAGTGTTACAGTAGAGAATGGAGAAGTCAATAGTTGGAACTCCTTTAACTTCCAGTCACTAAACTTCCAAATCTAAGTGATCTAAATCCCTTCCATTGGATCAAAATTCAGATGTCCCTTTTCTAACCCACTTACTCATTCTGTGGATCTGTTCATCTTCTCTGAAGTGTCATATTATCAGTTGTCCTTTCTTTCCTTTATCTTCAACTTCTCTGTTGGATTCCTTTTATTAGCATTTAAACATTTTCTGTTCTCCATCTTAACAACAATAAGCATTTAGAAAAAGTCTCCATTAAAAAACACATTTTCAGTTATGAGTTAGCCTTAGAGATCTACTGTTCAGCACAGTGCCTATAGTTAACTGCTGTACTATGTACTTTAAAATTTGCTAAGAGGGTAAATTTTATGTTAATTGTTCTTATCACAAAAATAATAAGGCAGAAGGAAACTTTTGGAAGTGATGGGTAAGTTTATGGCATAGATTGTGTTGTGGTTTCATAGGTATATACTTATCTCCAAACTCATTAAGTTGTATACATTAATTATGTACAGCTTTTGATGTGTTGGAAGAAAAAACAAAAACAAAAAACACCTCTTGATTTCACTTTCCCTTTGGCAAAAACTTGGTAAGATAGTACAAGAAAAATATAGACATCTCACATACGAATATAGTTGTGTCTTAAATGTATCCCATTTCTATTTTAATGACAAAGCTATAAAAAATACTTGAGAATACATTTAACAAAAGTGCAAGAATCAAAGAAAAATTTTACCAATGTTTATAGAACGGAATCTAAAATTTCAGGATTATAGGACAATGTCATTAAAATGCAATCTTACTAAAATTTATGTAGATTTATTGGAATTCCTTTTTTATCTTTTAAGGGAAGCTGGTTAAAATAACTGAAAGTTTATATGTAAAATCAAGTGTCCAAGAATAGCTTTTAAAACTCTGTGTGTGTGTGAGTGTGTATAAAACACGGGAGGGTAAAACTTCCCTTACCAGGTACTAGCTTACTTTGAAACTGCTGAATCAAAATGATATGACTTAAAAAAAAAACAAATTCAAAATAAACAATATTATTTTGGTCCTAGGAATAGAAAACTAGATGATTGAATTGATCATAATAGTACAGAAGTAGGCCTGACTCTTTTTTCTTTTTCCTATTCAAGAGAAAGTATAATTAAACAAATGGTGCTGACATTACTGGCTATCCATTCAGAAGGAAATAAAAATTGGGCCTGTATTATACTCTGTAAAAACATTCCACATAGGTTAAAGAAAAGTGATACAAAGGCATCAGAAGAAAAGTTAGAATAGTTGTGTAACTTCAGGGTAAAAGAGCTTCCTAAAAAAAGCAGGAAACCCAGAAATCAAAAACGAGAAGAGGTGTATACTTGATCAAATTAAATTTAAACAATTTAAATAAACAAGCATTTTAAATAGACAAGTATGAAATCTAAAGTCCTTGTACAGTAAAAACAATAAACCAAATAAAAATGCAAAAGCAGAAGACGTATTTTTCAGCTTTCATTTTGGATTGCTACAGTTTGCACTCCCCATCCCCACCAACCCAGGCTACACCCACTTAAAATTGTTGGATTGTTTGCTTTAGGCAGGCTTATTATTGGAGGAGAAAAACCAGGCTCTTACTGTGAGGGGCAGGGTGGGACACCCTGGTGTTTATGCCCAGTTGTATGCAGAGTCTCAGTGGCAAGGGAAGGAGTATCTTACCTCCCCCTACAATTGCAAGGGGCAGCTGATGTTCTGATGAGTCTAACAAAGTTTGGGCTGGGCCTGGGAACCTGGGGGTAAAGCCACTCAAAGGTCCTCAGGAGTGAGCATCACAACTACCAGTCATAGATCTAAGTTTGGGCAAGTAACTCCCCTTCAAACATAAAAAAAAAAACCTCATGGGGAAATGCTCTCAGAGAAAGAATGGAGGTTTCCATGGTAAGAAACTGGGAGGTTGGGACTATTCTAAATAATTTCATGTGATGTGGTGTTTGGGAGAGGACCTTGGAGGCTGGACTGACACTTGTAAGCCCCTAACAAGGGCCTTTCTAGACCCTTCAGGCTTCTAT